GGGGAACCTATTGTCCTCCCCCCGGCCATTATTTTTAGGGTGAGGGTGGTAGGTAGGGGGTTAATTTTTGGGGGGAGGAGGGGTGACTAGGGGTTTGGGGACCCCTGGTCACCTGTGGGGGAGGTAACATTTTTTTTAGGGCCCCCACCCGCCGCTCAGGGGTGGGGGCCAGGGGGGAGGACATTAGGTCCCCCCCCTTATTTGTATTTAGGGCCCCCACCCACCGCTCAGGGGTGGGGGCCAGGGGGGAGGACATTAGGTCCCCCCCTTATTATAATTTAGGGCCCCCACTCACCGCTCAGGGGTGGGGGCCCGGGGGGAGGACAATAGGTCCCCCCCAATTATTTTACATTAGGGCCCACACCCGCTGCTCAGGGGTGGGGGCGGGGGGGCAATAGGTTCCCCTTTTAGTTTAAAAGCCCCCACTCGCGTGTCGCAGGTGGGGGCTCGGGAGGGGGGACCTTTTTTGTTTTTAACAGTGAGCAGCCACAGGCATGCCCCTACTCTCGGTATAGCGAGTAGGGGCATAATTTACTAATACTAAGTAATATTTACTTAGTATTAGTAAATTTGGCTGAAAACCAATTTAGGTCTTTCAGCCTTTTAGTAGATAACTCCCTTATACCGTGGGAAATAGGGAGTTATCTACTTATTCATTCCTGTCATTACATTGACAGGCTAAGTAGCTTACATTTTATATGAATGTGTGTTACTTGATTGTTGTAAGTGTTGCAAATGCTTACAGCTGAATCCTGGCTATGTTTGTATACTTTTTATTTAAAATTGTATACAATGTAACATTCTTCTTCTTTCTGCTGGGTAAGTATATTAGTACTTAGGCAATACTGTGCTTCGGAACTTCGACACTTCAGAAATTTCGGAAAATCTGTAATTTCGGAACTTCAGCACCTCGGCAATTCGGCACTTCGGCAATTCGGCAATTCAGACATTCGGAAGTACCCGAATGTCCGAATTGCCCGAAATTCGTCCGAATTCATATTCGGACCGAAACGAATTGCACATGTCTACAGCCTACAGATCAGGTTAGTGAGGGAAGGGGGGGAGGAGAGAGAGCCTATAGATAAGGGAAGTGAGGGAAGGAGAGAGAGAGCCTATAGATCAGGGAAGTGAGGGAGGGGGAGAGAGAGCCTATAGATCAAGGAAGTGAGGGAGGGGGATAGATCATGGAAGTGAGGGAGGGAGAGAGCCTATAGTCAGGGAAGTGAGGGGGAGAGAGAGCCTATAGATCAGGGAAGTGAGGGAGGGGGGAGAGCCTATAGATCAGGAAAGGGAGGGGGAGAGAGCATATAGATCAGGGAAGTGAGGGAGGGGGTAGAGAGAGCCTATAGATCAAGGAAGTAAGGGAGGGGGAGAGAGAGCCTACAGATCAAGGAAGTTGGGGAGGGGGGAGAGAGAGCCTAAATATCAGAAAAGTGAGGCATGGGGGGCAGCCTACAGATCATGGAAGTGAGGGAGGGGGCAGTGGGGGGGGGAGACTGCCTATAGACCAGGTAAGTGAGGGATGAAGGAGACAGCCTACAGGAAGGGTCAGCAAGGAGCAGAAAGGAGAAGGAACAGAAATGAGCAGGAAGGGACAGCAAGGAGTAGAAAGGGTCAGCAAGGAGCTGGAAGGGACAGCAATGAGCACAAAAGGTAAAGTAGGAGAAGGAGCACAAAGGAACAGAAATGAGCAGGAAGGGTCAGCAAGGAGCAGGAAGGGTCTGCAAGGGGTAGCAAGGAGAAGGAAGGGTCGGAATTCAATGTTAAAAATTACACTTTAAAATTAGCCTGGTTACACTCCCCTGGGTTTCAAGCAGACAACAGATCCTGTTACTTCCTGTTTTGTTTAGCTCAGTGTAGCTAAACTCAAGAAACAGCAATTGCCAAGAGCACCTGCCTTGCAAAGACTTCTCATTAAGCTGTATTTTAAAATAAATATATATATGTATATATATATATATTTTTTTTTAAATTAAAACTAAAATAGATTGAAAATGTGCAATGAATGTATAATTAGCAGTACATAGAACAAAACCTAGGGACTTCTGGAAATATTAATATATACTGGGGCACTTTCAAAAATGGCTAAAATATCCATGGTAGAAAAAATAAAGAGAAATTAAGTCTACATAATTTAGCAAGAGCAATTCGAATCCCCAGTCTGTGATGGATAATTAAATGCACACTTAATTCATTGGGGGTATATCTACTAAACATTGATTTTTATTTCTTTTGCATTTGGGTAGTGGAGTGTCCCTTTAAGTTGTACCTTTCCCATATTTCACCTGTTTACAAGTATAAATGTGTTGGGTCTTTTCACTGAGCAGTGTCTCTGTTTAAATGGGTTATTTCACAGAGAGATTTTTTTTATTTTATTTATTTGTTTATTTATATGAACTTTGTCATTACAGTTTTGATCAGCAGGTTTTACTCGTTATGCAGGGGAGAGAATATGTCCAAAACATTTCAATGTCATCACTGCCTGTGCTCACAAGATTAG